ATCTAGTTATTTACCAAGTATATCTATTTGTTTATTGTCTTTTCTTTTATAGTATTTAATTATAAATTAATATTATAATAATATTTCTAATTATCTTACTTGTCTTCTTGTTAACACTTTAATTAATAAAAAGTAAATAAGATTTTTATAATCTATAATAATTTATATAAGAAACTTAGTTTCTTTTAGATATATTCTCTAATATTATAATATTATTATTATTACTAGTAATTCTTTATTATACATATTATAATTTAATTCTATATTAATCATCTTTCTTAAATAATATATAATTATTCTTTATTTTCTATCTTATCCTTTTTATATCATTATTACTCTAATAATATAATTAGATATATTAGTTTCTAGTATTATTAATTTATTATTATTAAACTATGCTAATATAGATGTAATTATTAAATAATATTTTACTTTTTTAAAAGCTTTTTCCTGTTCTTCTATCTATTTATATCCTGTGTCTTTTTTAAGCAATCTAAATATAGATATTATAATATTTATATATCTTTTAATATATTTTTAATAATAATTAATCATCCTAATAAATAATTATAATTCTTTAATATTTCTTAGTATAAGCTAATCTCTTACTACTTATACTTTTTCTTTATCTATTTGTATTTCTTTCTATATAATCTAATATTCTAGAAAATTGGTTTCTTATATATAGAATTTACATTTTTCTAGTTTTAGTTATAATTTTACCATTTTTAAGTTTTATAATACTATTTTAATATATCTAATATAATCCTTCAAGTTATTCAAGAATATTATAATATTATTAAGATAAATAATAATGAAGTTATATAGATAATCTTTAATAATTGAATTAATATATCTCTAAAATATTACTAGTATATTAATTAGTCTAAAAGATATAACTAGATATTTATAATATCTATATTTTATTCTAAATATTATTTTCTATTCTTTTTCTTTCTTAATTCTTAAATAATTATATATATTAGTAATATTAAGTTTAGTAAATTATTTTTTTTCTTTAATCTTATCTTATATCTTAGTAATTAATAATAAAGAGTAAATATTTTTAATTATAATATTATTAAGCTGTCTATAATTAATATATAATTATAGTTTTATTATTTCCTTTTTTAGTATATTATTAATGTATTCTTTTAAAGCCTTATTCTCTAATTCTAATATTTAATATATTTTCTGTAGCTTTGATTTCTTATTTTCTATAAGTAGAATAATATAATCTTATTTATTATACTTTAATAATGCTTTATATATTTTATTAAATAAACTTCTAAATCTTTTATATTCTTTAGATAATTTATCTTTTTTCTAGTCAGTATCTTTAAGATTTTATTTCTCTTTTATAATCTTAGTAATAATTTAATATTATATCTTTAATTTATTAGATAATTTATTTTAAAATAAGACTCTTATTTATTTTTTATCTAAAGTGATTCTTAACTTTACTGACCTCTCTTCTAATTTAGTAGCTTTTATAGTCTAGGTTTTATAATTATATCTTATTAGATTTAACTAATTCTACTCTTAATAGATCTCTAGATTGTGCTTTTTTAATTAAAGTATATTAAGGATTATATTATCCCTTCTTAATTTTATAATATTAAAGTTAATATACTTATAATATATTCTAATATTTATTATAAACTATCTGCTTTCATTTTTAATAGTATTATTATTTATAAGTTATTCTTTATTTAGTCTTATTAATAATAGTGATTTATATTTCTTAACTCCTAGTATTCTTAGTTTATTTATAGTTTATAGATCTATATAATTTCTAATTGCTTCTAAATTAATTATTGCTTAGATATATTATCTTAGTATATTGACTCTAATCTTTAAATACTTTTTATATATTATTACTTTTAATATTTTCTTTTCTTCTAGAATAATAATAAATAATTATAATTAATTAATTTCTTATTCTAATTTTTTATCTTTTAATATTATCTATTTTTTTAAAAATCTATAGAGATTATTATAAAAGTTTAAATCTTTTCTTTTAAATATAACTTATTTATAGAATTCTATTTTATTATTTTATTTATTAATTTTTTTTTTAATTTCTCTCTACTTTCTTTGATACTTTTTATTTAATATATTTTATTTTTTAGAGATTCTTTTTTCTTTAGTTAATTCCTATTAAGTCTAATTTAAGCTTAATATAAGCTTCTAATTTTCTTAATTTTTAATTTTTATTAATTATTAAAGACTAAAGTATATCTTCTTTATCTTATTCCTTAATTTTTTTATAATTAATAATTTTTTTTATTTATTTTCTTTTCTTATCTAGTAACAGCTTTTTAGAGATTTAGTTTTCTTTTTTTTCTTAGAAAATTATACAGTATTAATCTTAATATCTTAATATATTAGATAGTTGTTATTATAACAAGCTATTTATAATAATTTTTAATATCTAGGGTGATCTACTTCACTATATTAGTATTAGTAATTGTTTATATATTCTAAAGTATTATTTTTCTATTCATCTTTGGTATTAATTTCTTTATATGACTCTAGTATCTTATTTTATTAAATATCTTAGATTCTATTCTTATCTTTTTAGATATCTTAATCTTTTTCTAGATTATATATATATTTAAGATGCATTATTTCTTTATATAATTATCTAGCTTCTTCTATCTCTAAGAAATTATTATAGATATTATTATATTTATAGATATTATATTTTTTATTAGTTATAATTTTATTATTATGTCTTTTATTATACTTTATAGTCTTAAATTATTTTTTCTTAATTACTTTAAGTTATTATTCTTTAATTATCTTAAATTATTATTTTAATTTAATTTTTATATTCTTTTTTATAGTATCTTTTCTTTTTATAATTAAAGTATTCTATCTTGCTTTTATTAAATTATCTTTTTAATTTCTTATTAATTATTATATTAAGTTCTATTAATTATAATCTATAAGAATTTTAATACTTAGATTCTTTATTTATCTAATTTTAATATCTAGAGATAAGTTTTATCTTATATCTTTACTATTCTTATATTTCTTTTCTCTTTTATCTTATCTTATAAAATTTATTATTAATTTTAATAGCTTGTTTAATGAATTTATTAATATTATTTAATTAATTTATCTTAATAAATTTTATTTATACTTCTTTTTTTAATATATTCTTAAATACTATAATAAAGACTTTATTATTATAGTCTAATATTATTATAATTTATTTAAATTATACTATTAATTATTATATTAATCTAGTCTAATATAATTATTATAATTATCTTTTAGCATTTTATATCTTATTTATATTTCTAAATACTAGCTTAAATTTTTCTTTAAATTATTTATAAAAGCCTAGTATTTTTATAATATTAATACTCTAGTTCTTTTTTTTCTTATTATAGTATTTATGAAGTACTAGTTTAATCTATTAAAAGACTTCTTCTATTAGGTAAGTTGCTATAAAGATTATCTTAGATTCTTTTATTTCTAATATTATACTATTAATTATAATATATATATTTATTTATATAAGAAAATTCTTTAGTTCTATTTATTTCTTATTAAAGATTTATAATTTTAATATTTTAAATTATTTTACTGTTATAATTACTTCTAATTCTTTAATATATTTTTAAAATATTTCTTTATTAATAAGAGTTACTATTAATTTAATATTTAAAATAGTTATATTTTCTATTATCTTAGATTAGTCTATAGATATTCTTTCTTTTATCTGAACTTCCTTGTCTCTTATAATAGTACTTATCTTATATTATTTCTTAGAGTTAAGATAATAGCTTTTTTATTATATGCTTAGATTTATTTTAATTATTATTAATTATATCAAGATATAATATAATAGATAAATTATATAAAGGTTTATAAGAGTAACTTATTAATAAGATTAGATATAATCTTAATTTATTAATAATAAAGATTAGTTAATTATAATTAAGATAAAAGAAATATTTTAAAGTATTATAATATTTTAAATAAATTTATCTTACTAACCTTCTTAGTATATAATCAAATAACTTAGATTAAAGAGCTATAAAGAACTAAATATATAATAATAAATAAATATCTTTATATATCTAGTTCTCCTTATTCTATATATTATATATTGTATATTTCCTAAAGTAAATAATAGAAAGTATATAATTCTCTTCTAATAAGCACTAAGCATTCTATATACTCTTATCTTATCTAAGATAAGGATATATCTTTTATATCCCTACATAATATTAATACATATGCTGTTGTCACTTTGTATACTCCATGTGTTAGTAATCCCTTATACACTATTGCCAACAGTTAATCCAGTACAAGCTTATACCAAATCATCCTATCCCTCTTCTGGGGTAGTTTCTCCTAGCGTCATGCATGTTGCTTCGTAACAAATAGAACGCTTTTCCGTAATAGTCGCTAGCCTCGACTAGTGTCATGCAAGTTGGTTTCGTAACACCTAGGTGTTGTTTCCTAGGAGATTGTTGATTTCTGAGAAAGCTAGCAAAAAGGGATAATATTATGCTCTGATTGGCTATATCCAGCTTACCGCCGGCTGCTGACTAAGTCTTGGCATCTACGCTAAAATTTATTTCATGAAATTTGAAAAGGCGGAAAACACTTGAAATTTCAATTTCATGAAATATTGGTAAATTTCAGTAATTTCAGGAGCACTATAACCGACTTGAATCAACCCTTGTAGGATAATAAGGGTATTATTACACCAAGGGGAGACTTTGATGTGCTCACAGTCACGCTAATATCAAAAAGAAAAAGACAAAAAGAAAAAAAAGTGTCGCCCCCACGAACATCCTTTCAGATGTTGGAAACCGGCAACAACTGAACCAACACTCTCCTGTGGTTTCACCGCTGCCTAGTACAGTACGTACGTTCTTATAATGCTAGGTGGCTTGTTTTGTGGCCAAAATAATACTCCTGAAGCCTATACTATATGAATAAAGTAGTAGGTCTATGCCGTGGCACAATCAACAAATATGGAGCTTTTTCACTCGCCCACCTTCGCTGCGGATGTGAAAGACTTGATGAAGCAGCATCATGTCCCCGGTCTAGCGGTTGCCATTATACAAGACGATCAAGTCGACTCGGCGGGATATGGAAATGCGTGTCTGCATCCTGAAATCCCTTGCACAGCGGATACACTGTTTGATATTGCATCATCTGCCAAATCTCTCACTGCTGCGGCGGTGGGGTTGCTAGTCGACGATAACGAGAGCTTTCCTGATGTACAGTACGACGCCGTGATGTCTACTCTTCTCCCTGACGATTTTGTTATGTCTGGAGAAGGGTATACAGAAGGAGTCACCGTGGAGGACATTTTAGGTCATCGGAGTGGGCTCCCCGGGTGCGTATAACTCTTTCAAATGGGGGCCGCCATGTCTAATTTTGCTAGCCACGATGATTCGTACATGAGTGTGCGAGCAGCACAGCCAGACAATGCTCGGTCTATTACAAGAAATCTCAGAAATCTCCCCGTCGCTGCCCCGATCCGCTCAAAATACATTTACTGTAATATGATGTATACTGTGGCCAGCTATCTGGTGGAAGTCAGAAGCGGGTGTGATTTTGCCACATTTCTTGAGAAGCGGTTCTTCCAGCCCCTGGACATGCAATCAACTACTCTTCAACCAAGCAGTGCACGAGCAAGAGGTTTGGAAGCCCGGATGGCAACTGGCTATACTTGGAACAAAGCCGACTCGGCATATCGTGGCCTGGAAAGTCCAGACTGCCCGGAAGGTCAAGGCGCAGGCTCAATTATATCAAGCGTGAATGACTTTATCAAATTCGTCAAAGCTTTGGTTAATCAGGAACACCCTATCAATCAAAATGTCTATAGAGGACTCACTCGCATGCGAGCGTTCGTGAACCCAGATCCAGCAAAGCGGAAGCGATACACATCCCCAGTGGCATACGGTGCCGGGTTAGATATTTACTTTTACAGAGGACATATGGTTGTCGGTCACAATGGCGTGTATTCTGGATTCGGAAGTCGTTTCTTCTTCCTTCCAGATTTCGCATTTGGCTCGGTCATCCTAGGAAATTCAGAGGGAGCGAATGCCGTTGCTACCATTCTGGTCCAAAGATTAATCGATAACCTTCTTGGGGTTGAGAACGAAACACCACATCACAACAACAAAATCAAAACCACGCAGAAGTCCCAGTCCAAATCAAAAGCAAAAGATACACAGTCCACGAAGAAAAATACAGAGCATCATAAAAGCAAAGATGGTGGTAAGAAATTACAACAAAATATTTCCCTACAGCCGCCAACGATGCCTCTGAGCGCTTACATTGGCCATTACTGGAATCCGGGGTATCATGATCTACTGGTTCAAATTAGAGATGATGCACTTTTTATCGATGCTACAGATCGTTCAATGGGATTTACCCTGAAGTTTGAACATGTGTGCGATGGAAAACACTTTAATGCGCGTATTACTGATTGGCTTGATGGCAGTGATGACTTGACCAAAGCAGAGTTTGTGATAGAACAGGGTCAAGTTATAAAATTAGGTCTGCGACTTGAAAATATGCTAAAGGAAATGACCTGGTTTGAGAAGAAAGAGGTTATTCCTTGACTGTATTTTTCTTAAGGTTACATCACACAACATCTTCGAAGATGGAACTTGCGAATGGATAACTAGCAATTGCATGTCAATAGCTGTTGAGAGCCTTTGATAAAGAGGCAAACCTGGAGCAAAGCGGGAATGAAAGACCTCTTTTAAGAACATAGAAGTATTATTTCAGGAGTAACCCGGAGAAAAAAAGTTACATTTTTCTGAAATTTCTTGTTAACGCTTAGATACTTATGGACTCGTGGGGGTGGTGTAACAAAGCTTATTGAACATGGATGCCAACCATATTGAAAGTGTGGTTTGGGGATCATATATTATCGCTGTTTAGGAATTTCCATACATGTATATTAAATGAGTAAAGGAATCTTGAACATTAACTCCAATCAATCTGGACAATAGAATAGCGAAGCGCCTTTTAAGCCTTGATATAATGACTAGAATAATGATTATGATAAGATGTATAGAAAATGAAACATGTGTTATAGGGACCACTATCTATGCTAACAGGAATTACTAAACGATAACATGTAGACTGAATAAGGGACAAGATACAACAAAGGATTGATAAGAAACAAGGCTTTTTTCTTTTGGCAGATTCCACAACTGAAAATGTTTCTTTCATTTCAGAAAATTGCATGGTTGTGTGGAAAGGCACTTTGGATTATGATGCTGAATAATATCTTTGTTTCAGACATCAACATCTCCACGAGAGCGCTTTGTCAACAAGGTCAGCTGCGAGAACCAAGTCGGGTACTCCAAAACATCCTCGATGCTAAGAATATGCCCTTGCCGCTCCATATGAGCTGAGATCAAGCTGGCAGTTATCAGGTCGCCACCAAGATCAAAGATAGTCTCACTAGCTTTGATCTCGGGGCTCAGACGGCGTTTGAAGGCATCTCTCCACGCACTATCCAGTGCAGATTGCATTGCTGTGGGGCTGATGCTCGCAACCATCGACTGTTCCTTGGTTTGAAGCAAGCCCAGAGGTTAGTTCTATTCACGTCAAGAAGTTCCCCTGCTGATCAGAGTGCTAGTTTGGATTGGCTTTTGTCCAGCTCCTAGGGGTGACTCGCCAGTTGGATAAAGTTGGCCAGAAGCTAGCTCGTCTTGCTAGAGAAATCGATGGGACAGACATATATTTTTCTATTGTAATAATAGATCACCATGTGCAAGGCGTCCAATAACATAGATGGATCTTTCATCGGGTGACAAAGCAATTCCGAAAATATCACCTGGAAAGTAGTTTGCTAGGGTGATGGTGGCTTTAGATGAGCTATTAAATAAATATAGAGCGGGTGGGTTGGACCCTATCCAATCTAGCCACGCGCCAGTCAATATCTGGGTCACTTGATGGTCAGGCCAACCTTACCTGGGGTCCTAGGCACGTCGGAAAATATGAGATCGCCGCTGCGAGTCGCCACAATGCTTTTCAAACTACCCTCACTGTTAGCATGGAGCTCAGCTAATCAGAAGAATGTGTTCTTACTTTGAAAAATGGTGTCCCTGGTAGTTGTTCAGCACCGGCGTCACCGTTAGGTCATTCATGTCGAGGGCGGCCACCATCGGAACATCCGGGCCGTTTGTTGTGATATATGTCATATTACCCTGAGAAGCAGCACTCAGTGACATGATTGGCAAATGAAGAGTGAAATTAGCGACCTAAAGGCGCCTCTGTTAGCAAACGATTGGACCAATTTTAACACCACTGACCGGATTTTTTCCAAAGTTGAGCGGCAAAACAGTCCCATCTTGAGCTATGATCAGCAGATTGTCACTCCCCTGGCTGTGTGTGAGGACATAATGACTATCGATTGGAGCTTGAGATAGGCTGGCGATACGCTCAAGCGTCGGTGAAGTGCCTAGAACGGAAAAGAATCCATTATCGAAGACGATAAAGCTAGTTTGGGGCATTGCCTGCAGTTTACCTATAGTTTGAGAACTGGAACCCACGTGGTTTTCACATGCTAGGACAAAGATTAGCCTTACTCCATTTGACCGCAGTGGGAGCCACTCCTACCTGCACCGACCGGATTGAGCGGAAGGATTGCTGTATTCTCAACAATTGTCAGTCCAGAATTGGTTTGACCAGTGACAAGAGGCCATATGGCCATTAATATTGCAATAATTTGATACATGATGTTGTGGTTCTGGGTTCAATGATCGATTGGCATTTGCCATGCTTTTATCGATACTAAATGTCCAGTGTTGGACTCAATGTCCACTTATGGATCGTATTGAAAACGGTCAGAATTCTGTCATATTACTACAGTTTTTGGATCTTAGTTTTGTCGTTTCGTAAGCTCGAAGTCGACCCTGTCCGCTTGGTTCCATATGTCGCTTCCAAGGCCGGTTTTGACCTTACATGCCAAAACTAATGGCCGTATACTGTAAAGGAAAAGCACAAAGGAAACAAAGGAAAGAAAATAAATCAGGATGTGGTCTCTCATTCGGACGCCACATACGCCATTTGCGTCCAATCAGTTGCTGTTAGAGGGTGGAAACTCCCAATCCTTTGTCTCCCAGGGTTGTGTTTTACAAACAATATACTCCCGGACACGAAAGGTTCCTCTGAGCTCAAGTTGGAGGACAAATCCCACAGCAGTCACCCATTATCTCCCCCAGGGAACCCCAAAAGGCAGGGTGGCAATAGCAAGATACTGATTGGATTTTACCATTAAATCAACCATTCAACGAAAGATCAGTGGTAAGTAAGACATTCTCAATCTAAGAGATATTATGATTAATTCCCATTTCACTAACACACTTTTCGTCCTAATCTTTACAGCATCAAACTTGGGACCATACGGAATCCAGAAACTATAAGAGAACGAGCTTCCCCGCTCCAAATGCGGCCATAGTCTGGCCTTAAACGGCGCTATGTGGAAAAGGCATTCTAGCACCAAAAGTCGCGCAAGGCCATTCAGCTAATCAATTGGCCTATAACACATCCAAGGATCAACACATGATTGCTTAAAGTCTAAACCAAAAAACCTCAAAGCCCCAGAGTCAGTATTTTGCGAGTCGCATTTCGTAGGACAGTAACCTTCAACTTAAATCAACATTAATTGTCGGAGTGATAAATGCTGTAAGTCCCCATAGTGTAATCAAAACTCAAGAGCCATCAAAGGCCACACATAAAGCATTAACATCAAAACCAATTAATATCTCAAAAATACTCTTGTAAAGATGCAGTATAATTTGGACATGACATATCAGGAACCTTGAAGCAATCGTGATTGCATATTTTGATTAGATAGTCTTCTGTTGTTAGCTAGGATTTCATATAAATAGAGCTCTTATCTTACTGTGGTTTGCTCTAAAGAATTAAATTGAACATATGCCTCAATCTCCCTAATCTTCTCCAGTGCTTGTTGTTCATCAAGACCAAACAGAAATAGATCTATATCAGAAGAAGGTGCTAGCTGGTTATGGTAGTAGATCCTAAATCCTTGTTATCCAATATTCATATTAATAGTAACCAGTGCTTATCTCTAGACTACAACTAAAACAGCATGCTCTCTAGATACTAGTAACAGTAGTACAACCATAGAACTCCCCACTACTATAACATTCTCCCAATTCAGTCTGTTAAGACATCTCTCAGTAAATATGTTCTAGTTTCCGGAGAAGTCTTCTAGTGAATAAACCATGACAGAAGACTTGTCTATCCTACAAACATCTTTATCAAGAGGGAACAAATATTTTTGCCGAGTGTCCAGGGGTTCTTGGTCTAGCCGCCAAGCATGGACGAGTATTGGCCCATTGGAGATAGCAAAAACAGGGAAATAATTAAGCACAGGAGGGCATTCCCCTCCCCGTCCCCTCGCAAAGATTTCTCTCGCGTTTTCCTCATACTCGAGGTAAAGGCGTACTATCGGCTCGATAGATAATCTGCTATCACAATGTTCGTTGAAATAACGAACGAAACGAGTCAAGGGAGCTGGTATTTCATTCATTTTGTGTGTTGCAAAAACCTTATTGTACACGGCTATGTAACTATCACGATGATCCGTCATTATATCCAATTTAAGCTCTAAGGATCCATTATTGGGCTTTTCGCTAGCAAGATTGAATTCGACTTCTCATAAACAAATTTGCTAAAACAATACTTCCATTATATAGCTGTGACTCTGAGAAACTCTTCGTGGATTATCTTTTCTTCAATTCGAAAATCAAGCACTGCTTTGCGTAGCCGCCCAGAAGCAAACTGGACCTCCCCAAGTACATCAGTCTATGAGCATATTCAAGTTCTAGAAGAAGACGCTTGTTTTATTCGCCCAGGGCAACCAGCGCTCCCATACGATGCTGTGCAAATAGCGTTTGATGCTGACGCTGAGTTGCTTGAAGGCATTATCTCGGGTAGCGCAAATGTGTCGGAAACTTCGGTTGAATTACCGTCGAGTATAGCTAGGATAGCTATTAACGAGCAAAGTTAATAGGCTTTTAAGATTAAAAGATCTAATAAGATAAAAGAAATAAGAATAAAACTTCTAAATATTTTAATTAATAGAAGATTATATACTTAAATTATTATAATTAATTTAAGATAACAGAAGAAAATTAAATATAAAATAAATAAGTATTCTTATATAATTTTTTTTTATTATAACTATTATAAAGAATCTTATAATTTTTATATAATAATTATTATAATTATTATAGCTTTTATTCTAATTTCTATAATACTCTAATTTTAATAGTTATAGATAATTTTTTATTCTATTATATATTAATTTCTCTTATCTATTAGCTATAATATTCTAATTCTCTAATAATTTTTTTTTTAAAAGCTGGCATCTTAATAGCTTAATAAATAGCTTATATTCTTTAGATATATAAAAAACTAATTCTAGTTTCTAATTTTTTGTAATATATAATTCTATAATTTTATACTAATTATATCTTTAAAGAAATTTATTTTAAAGAATTCTTTTCTTTTATATATTAAGTAATTTAAAATTATTTATTACTTCTTATATAGCTAATATAGCAATTTAGAAAAGACTTATATTAAAATAGAATTTTTAAAATATTATAATAAATATATTTAAATAAATAATTATTATTATTCTAAAATATCTATCTCTAATTTAATCTAAAAGTAGCTTATTAAGACCTAGAATAAAATTAAAGCTAATAAAGAAAAGACTTATAAAAAAATTATAGCTTTTATAGCTAAATTTAATTATTTATAAAAATAAAAAAAATTATTATAAAAGTATATTAATTAATTTATTTAAATAAATATTAAGGATATTAAAGAGTTAGAAAGATTAGAAAAAATAAAAGAAAAAATAAAAATAAAATAAATAAGAAAATAATAAGAAACTAAAGAATTTTTTATTATTATATTTACTTTATAAAATAATAATCTTATTTTTAATACTAATTTTAATCCTTTTATTTTTCTTAATTATACTTTTATCTCTATTTTTAAATCTTTTTAGAGCAATTTAAGTGTTTAATAGATTCTTATATATCTTCTTTAGATCTATATCTCTTTTATTTTAAAAAATAATAAATATATTCTTTTTTTAACTTATACTATAATATTTTTTTAATTTTATATTCTTTATTATCTATTATTTTATTTTTATTTATTAGATTGATAATTAGTTCTAATAATAATATATAAAATATTAAATATATTTATATTTTTATTAATAGCTAGAATTTATAATTATTATTTATAAGTTTTTCTTTAATAATAAATAATCTAAATTTAACTATATTAAATTTATTATTTAGTCTTATACTTTTAATATTAAAGTTTTTTAATTTTAATATTTATTATAAAAGATAAACTCTTTTTTTTTTTAATACTAATATATCCTTATATTTTCTATTATAATATCTTTTTATTCTTATTTTTATCTATTTAATATCTTTTAACAAATTATTATATATTAATTATATATATATTATTTAGATATTTACTTTATTTGATGTTTCTTTTTATTTAATATTTTCCTAATTTATTCTTAGAATTCTTTCTAGATTAGTAAAATATGATATTTATTCTATTAATATATTTATAGTATTATTTATTATAAATTAAGTAAATAATAATAATTCTATTTAATTATCTTAATTCTAATCTAAGTAATATCTTAGATATTATTTAACTACTTGAATTATTCTTTCAGTCTAACTATTAGTCTATTAATAATATATTATTAATAAATTATATTTTACTCTATAATTTTTTATAATTATCTATTAAAATTTAGATATAAATAATTTATTTTAATCAGATATAATTTTATTTAATAATTTAAATATTATAAATACTTCTTATAATAATAGTATTATGTATTATTATATTATTAAATTTTTTAATATTAGTTTTAGGATAATATATTTTATAAGTTTATTTATAATAATAATAATTTTAATATATATAATTCTTAAAATAAAATCTTTTAACTCTAATAAGTCTTATATAAAATCTATTATAATTTTTTACTATATTTTTATTAATATTTCTAAAATTTACATTCTTCTATATAGTTAATAATTAATTAATTTATTATAATTATAACTATTATATTTCTTAATATAATCTTCAACTAATTTTCTTATTCTTAGGAAATAATATATTTATTATATCTTTTCTACTATTTAATTAATTCATAATATCCTTTAATTAGTAAATTATAATTTACTAATTTTTATTTAAATAATTTCTATAATTATTAAAAATAATACTAATATTAATCCTTTTTAAATAATTAATTCATTCTTAATTATTACTTTATTATTATATAGTATTATCTATAATATTTTATTATTCTTAATAGCTTCTATTATCTTTTTATAAAAATCTTTATTTTCTATTATAATTATTATCTCTAATATTATTTTATTATTATAATAAATTCTATCTTTATCTTCTACTAGTATATTTATTTATAGCTACTATATTTTAATTATATAATTTACTCTTCTATTTAATATATTAATAATAATATTTTCTTTTCCTTTAATATATTTAATTTAAAACTTAAACCTTAATAAATACTTTAATTATTTAATTTATTTATTAATAAGCTCTTTAATTATTATAAAATATTTTAAATTATAATAATTACTTTTTATAACTATTTTTTTTAACTTCTTACAAATAGTATCTCTA